CCCCCCCCCCGTTGCCTCTCCTCCGCACCTCTGCTCCCCCTCCGCACCATGTCCGACATCGAGTCGCTCCCCGACCCGGAGGACTTCTACGAGTACCTCGGCGTGGCGGCCACCGCCACCGAGGCCGAGATCAAGAAGGCGTACTACTCGCTGGCGGTCAAGTGCCATCCGGATCGGGCGACGCCGGAAACCCGAACCGAGTCCACTCGCCGGTTCCAGCTCCTCTCGCGGGTCTATTCGGTGCTCAGGTGCGCCCGGGCTTGGCCCCCTCCCCTCCGCCGCACCCCGCCCCTCCGCCGCGTGTGGCCAGTCCCTGACCCAGGCCGCCCACACCAGCGACCCGAAGAAGCGCGAAATCTACGACACCACCGGCTCGGTGGACTCCCTGTCATCCTTCCTGTCGATGGACGTCGATTGGGTGGAGTTCTGGCGCGATGTCTTCCCCAAGGTGACAGTCGAGTCGGTGGCCGAGTTTGCTGGGCAATTCCGCGGTGCGCCTATATCCCCCCCCCCCCCCTCACCCCCATCGCTGGCCACAGCCACTGACATCCGAGGCGCGTGGCTGCCCTGCTTCCCGCAGGCTCTGACGAGGAACGGCGGGAGGTCTTCGACGCGTACATCCAACACCGTGGCGACATTGTCAAGATCATGGAGTCGGTGACCCTGGCGTCCATGCTTGATGAGGACCGCTTCCGGGCCATGATCGACGCAGGCATCGCCGCGAACGAGCTTCCCCGCTTTGCGGCGGCCGAGGCATCCCCCTTCTCGGCGGCCAGCCCGCTGCGTTCGCCGGCCGCCCGGCTTCGCCGGGGTGGCGCCCCGGCCTCGCCGAGCCCGATCCGGTCCCCCGGCCGGCGTGACGTCCTGGTTGGCAGCCCATCCGACAGCCCGCTGTCCTCGCCGGTGCGGGCATCGCGGAGTCGGCGCCGCACGCTGCTGGTGGCCGAGGAAGAGTCCGACGGGGATGCCTCGCTGGCGGAGGACCCTGGCCCCGACGGGATGGCCGCCGAGGAGCTTGAGGACGCCGAGCCGTCGGGCACCCTGACCCCGGACCTGGAGACCGCGCGCAAGCGCCGGCGCTTTGCGGCTGCCCGCGAGGCACGCGAAGCCGAGCAGGCCCTCAAGGAGATCATGGCCAAGCGCCGGCAGGAGTGCGTTTGGCTGTGCCCCGCGCCAGATGCACGGCGGCCGGGCATATGGGCTGCCTGCTCTCCGTGCCCATCGCATCCCTTGCTCTGCTCTGGCCCCACTTCCCTCTTCCATTTGCCCCCACGCCACCTCCCGGTACTGAACGCACGGATGCTGACATATCTCCCCCCCCCCCCCCCCCCCCCCCC